CCTGGCTGGCCAATGTGAACTTCCGAGGGGACCAGGAGCACAGTAAACTTCCTGCACCAAAGAAAACTAAACATCAACCAAATCAATGCCGGAAGTAGTAGAGAAACTGAAGCTTGACCATCCAAGAGAATGATTTGTAAAGGAGATAGATCGTTTTTAAAGAGAATCAGTCACATCTTTAAAGACATTTTAAAAGTGTGGAGAAAGTGTAGCTCTCCTGTTGGGTTTTCTCTTCATGTTCCCCCCTGTGGACAAAGGTGCTGAAAAATATGAGAGCTATTCTAGTCTAGTATTGTTATAACTGTCTGTGTTGACAGTCTTTCTTTTCTCTAACTAAAAAAGGAAAGTACACTGTCTTCTTTTTTTCTGGTTGGCCAATGTGAGCTTTCAATCAGGGACAAGTAGACGTCCTGTCGACAAAGATGCATCACCCAAAAACAATGCTAGAAGCAGCAGAGAACCTGAAGCTTGACCGTCAAGATAATGATTTGTGATGGAGATTTCAAAAGAGAACCAGTTACATCTTTACAAACATCTCTAAACTTTTTTAGCTTTGGATAGGGTAGAGAAAGGGTCGAGCTTCTGTTGGGTTTTCTCTTCACATCCAGTCCTGCTGACAATGGTTTTGCCATTGAAGATTTACCCTCACTTCCTGTCTGGTGAAACCATTGCCAGCAAAACAGGAAGTGAAGTCAAATCTCCTTATTGGAGCCACAGATAACAGTAAAACCCAGCACTGCTCCTATCTCTTCCCCGTTCTATCCAAAACCAAAAGGCAGCAGTAAAACCCGGCAGTGGTTCTATCTCTTCCCCATTATATCCAAAACTAAAAGGCAGCAGTAAAACGCAACAGCGGTTCTATCTCTTCCCCATTATATCCAAAACTAAAAGGCAGCAGTAAAACCCAATATTAGTTCTAACCCTTCCATTTTTTGAAAACCAAAAAGGTTTGGCTTGACATACACTTTAAAGTAATTTCAAAAATTCTTGCAGTACTCGTAATTTTTAATCTTTCAATAAAAGAATCCCTGGTGATCCTGCCATGAAGGTCCTTGTTCATGCACTTCCTGTTATCGGTTATGTAGTGACAACTGTCTCTTAACCATGCCCCTGCATTGTCATCCTGTTACATGCTCCCCCAGGTGGAGAATATGGGCAGCTGTGCTGTCACCTCTTGAGACTACTCTTCTTTGGATGCCTCTGCTACGAATATCACCATCGGGGAGCTTGACACAAATGGGGGGGTGAATGCATTTTAAGAGATCACATGACACCCCATCAGGAGTTCCTCATAAGCAGATATATAGAAGTCAGAATAGATATGGGGTTTCTTGATAGGCTTGAGACTCTGCAACCTGCCGCCATGTACTTACCTATAATCACTGAACGCCTTGTTAAATTCTAATATCCTTACAAACGTCTCTGGCAGGGGGTCTTTAACCTCCGTATCATATACAGGACATGCCGGAGGCGCTTGATCCGAGGGGGGGGGGGGCCTTTAAAAAGTAAAGCAATCAGGCTGCCCCATAGGACTCTTTCCGCTCCAAACCCAAAATCTATTTCTCACCCGGAGCGCGATATATGAAGCTGACATCCTAACACCCAGGAGAACGGCTCCTGTTTTATCTCCTTCAGTCTTTGTAAAGTCTAAGCTGCTTGTTAATCATCTTCTCATTCATCCGTACTACCAAGAACCTGCCAAGACTTATATGACACCAGGCTCCTGAAAGATATAATCAGGTTTAAAGCGCTGGATTATTTATTAAATTTGACAAGAGAACAAGCAGTAAAAAGGGGAAAAAAAATCTCAAATAATGATGTGAGGTTCTTTATACTGGCTCTAAAAAAAAAAGGCATTTTTAGAGCATGAGTCATATCCTGTTGCATTATTAATAAAGAAGATGACTTATACTGACAATATATATTATACTTACAGCAGAGTAAAACAAGGCGATACATATATTTTAGTCGAGCTCAAAAGGTACACTCTCATCAAACGGGAAGATTCTGCATTGAAATTCAGGGGACGCGGCCTAGGCCTAAGTGGCGCCAATTTCCATTCGGGCTTTTACCTTCTGCACCTGCCTGCTTATGTATTTATAGCCCTGTGGTTGCCGGTAGACATGTGCGATTCGTTTCGTTCCGAATCGAAATTCGGACGAATTTTCGTAAATTCGGACATTCGGATGTATCCGAATTCCGAATTACAGACATAACGAATGCAAACGAATCCGAATTTCCATTTCCGAAATTTGGTAGCGTTCGCACGAACGTTCGTTTCGTTTTCTTTTCTTATTCGTTTCGTTTGTTGGAGCAAAGTGACAATAGAGAAGGAGAAAAATATTTTTTCCCCCTCAAATGTCACTTTTGCTGCAAACGAACGAAACGAATAAGAAACGAATAAGAAACGAATAAGAACAGAAAACGAAAAGAACGTTCGTACTAACGCTACCGAATTTCGTCCGAATCCGAATTCCCGAATCCGAATTCACTTTCACACCCGAATCCTGAAAAACGAAATAACACAAATCTGAATTTAAAACGAAACGAAATGAAACGAATTTTTTGGCAGTGCACATGTCTAGTTGCCGGTACCCTGGCCTTCTGTAGGGGCCTGAATCTCAAAATGTGAACATGAGGGTCAGCGGGTTCCCTTGTTCCAGCATTGCCCTCTCTTAGAGCCTGCTGCATCCTTAATGAGAGGGAGATGGCACAGCTGAACGTCATGTGCCAAGAGGCTGCAGTCCTGACCTGATGCGCATGTAGGGTGAATGCTAAGATGATAGTTACATGGGATTTCCGTGTTCCCTGGTTTCAGCATTGCCCTCTCTTAGAGCCTGCTGCATCCTTAATGAGAGGAAGATGACACAGCAGAAGGTCATGTGCCAAGAGTCTGCAGTCCTGACCTGATGCGCATGTAGGGTGAATGCTAAGATGATAGTTACATGGGATTTTAACAAACTCTTTGAGTTTGAATATATTGCACTCCTAATAAATGTCCTGTCCTAAGAGGGTCAGCGTGTTCCCTGGTTCCAGCAATTCCCTCTCTTAGAGCCTACTGAATCCTTAATGAAAGGGAGATGACACAGCAGAGGGTCATGTGCCAAGAGGCTGCAGTCCTGACCCAAAGCACAGGTAAGGAAAATGCTAAGATGATGGTTGCATGGGATTCTGAAAAATCTCTTTGAGTTTGAATAGATTGCACTTCTAATAAACTTCCTGTCCTAAGAGGGTCAGAGTGTTCCCTGGTACCAGCAATTCCCTCTCTTAGAGCCTGCTGCATCCTTAATGAGAGGGAGATGACACAGCAAAGGGTCATGTGCCAGGAGGCTACAGTCCTGACCCGAAGCACAGGTAAGGAAAATGCTAAGATGATGGTTGCATGGGATTTTTTAAAAACTCTTTGAGTTTGAATATATTGCACTTCTAATAACTTTCCTGTCCTAAGATGTCTCCAAAGATATTTTGAAGTAGAACAATTGACTCCCATTGCCCTGCCACTCCAAAAATATGTGATGCTGCCTTTTATTATAAGTTCATCTGTTTGAGTTTTCTCTTGGTCCCCCCGCAGAGTCCCAATAATACCTGTTGATCCCGCTATTAAAGCCACCTAATGCAGCTTCCTGACCTGTGGCAACAATGCTGCACTGCTCCTGAGTTCAGAGCAGAGTTGTCGCTCATGTAGGCTGTACCTGCTTGCACTACAGTGGGATGAGAAGATGTTGCAGGGAACTGGACATCAGCATTGTAACTGCTGACTCACAAACCTGACCAATGTAAAGGTGGCCACACACTGACCACCATACAGGGGGCACACATTGACCACCATATAGGGAGTGCACAATGATCACCATAAAGGGGGCGCACACTGACCACATACAGGGGCCACACACTGACCACCATACAGGGGGAATACACTGACCAATATAAAGGAGCCGCATACCGACCACCATACAGGGAGCACACACTGACCACCATATAAGGGGTACACGCTGACCACCATACAGGGGACACACACTGACCATCATACAGGGGGCACACACTGACCAATATAAAGGGGCACACACTGACCACCATACAGGGGGCATACACTGACCACCATACAGTGGGCATACACTGACCACCATACAGTGGGCATACACTAACCACCATAAAGGGGGCACACACTGACCACCATACAGGGGGCACACACTGACCACCATACAGGGGGCACACACTGACTACCAGGCAGGGGGCACACACTGACCACCATACAGGGGGAATACGCTGACCAATATAAAGGGGCACACACTGACCACCATACAGTAGGCATACACTGACCACCATACAGTAGGCATACACTAACCACCCTACAGTGGGCATACACTAACCACCATGCAGAGGGCACACACTGATCACCATACAGTGGGCACACACTGACCGCCATACAGGGGGCACACACTGATCACCATACAGGGGGCATACGCTGACCACCATACAGTGGGCACACACTGATCACTATAAAGGGGGACACACCGACCACCAAGAAGGGGTGCACTGACCATAATGTACATTGGTTTCTAAGACGCTGGTGCCCTCCACAGCATCCTAGGTTGTCATGGTGCACCCACCTGTACCCTAGCAACCATAATGCTGTGCGGCCCAACCGCTAGTATCCAAACAACCAGTGATGCTGTACGGGTCAGATTTCTGGCTGGGGTTGGTGAACATCCAAGCTATCCGAACCCAGGCCAGTTCGCATGTCACTGGTACAAGAAGATTTCCCGGGAGTAGAAGAAAACATTCATCATGGCAGGTTGCTTTTGTAGCTCTGGAATGTCTGACTGTGGTAAGATTATTGGGCCCAGAGTTATCAGAATAAATCTATAAATCAGTGTTCTCTAAACTGTTTACGTGACGCCACAACCCCTTCAAACCCTCAGCGCCAGAAATGAGACGTTTGCAAACTGCTAAACTAAAAATGTATTTAATCTCTTATTATTATTTGGTGCTCCTCGGAGTCACACAGTGGAGTGGCCACACTGACGAACAATCTTTTGTTTCAGCTTTTAATTACTTGGTCCACTAAACACTCGTTCTCCCCTCTTTTGAAGAGCTCACACGCCACGAGTATATAATTTGCTTTAGTGAGATATCCAGTAACTGCATCGTGTAACGCTGTACAGGGAGATAAATTGTGTGTGACAAACATAATGGGAGATGTATGGACTGCTTTCTGCTCAGACAATTGTTCTTCACAATGCATAGTAGAGTTGTGCGGACTGTTAAATTAAAACACCAGCCAAACCCAGTCCTTTTGCTGCGGATAGAGCGGGGAACTGTTAAAACCTCTATCGGCTTTTATTGCTGCCTGTGTCCCCTATTGGGGAGATTTATCCTGCTTTCCTGTTCAAATGACGGGATAGGAAATTGAAGCTGAAGTTTAATCTGCTTATATTTTGCTCTCCTTTTTGTCTCCCCCCCCCCCCCTTTGATTGATATCAGCGCTGGGTCAATCAGGAAGCCAGGCTGCGAGTCATCACCCACCGCCCAGCTTCCTGATTGGCCAGGAAGCTGACTCCATGTTCCTCCGCGGCACTGCCGGCCAGAGGAAATCTCCCTCTGACCGGACATTTCGGTATCGGGGGTAAGTATCAGTCCATTTGGGGCGAGTATGAGTACTCACCCAATACTTATATTGGGTGAGTACCAATACTAGTATCTTTATCGGTGCATCCCTACTGATAATCATAAGCGACCACACAGCATGGAGATGGCTTCCCGGCCAATCAGGAAGCCAGGCGGCAGGTAAAGACAAAATAGCCGTCTCAATGCTGGCCGGGGAGCTGGCTTCCCGGCCAATCAGCATGAAGCCGACCCCACAAGCAGGGAGCCGGGTTCCCGGCCAATCAGGAAGCCCAGTGGCAGGTAATGACCCACCTCCCAGTCAGGAAGCCGCCTCAATACTGAATGGCTGGGAAGCTGGCTACCTGGCCAATCGGCATCGAGCCGGCCAAACAGCATGGAGACGACTTCCTGGGCAATCAAGAAGCCAGGCGTCAGGTAATGACATGCCCGCTGGCTTTCTGATTGCCCAGGAAGCCGGCTCCATGTTAGCGGAAGTACAAGTATCGGACATATATATCGGTACTCGATACCGAGAAACCGGTATCGGTGCATCGCTAATTTTCACGCTCCATCTAGTGGCCACAATAGGTATTTTCCCCACTCAATCTGTTCTGTATGAATTCACCTACTGAAGAGCATTCGACCAGAAGAGAAAATGTACCAAGAACATTCGTTTTTGCCCCATTCTCAGAACAGCTGGCTGACTTGCACAGAATGAATGTACTGTACCTGCAGTTTAGCTGGACGAATAAGCTATGCAAATTTTTTATTAATGGACCCAATTGGCTATACATACACTTGAAGTGTGCGCCCCTCATCGCCAGCATTTTATCTCTGAATTAAGCAAGATATAAAAGAAGGTAATTGTTGGATTTGTTCTTTGAATCATTCCATTGAGTTACAGCGGATTTCTAACCTGTACCTTCTCCGAGTGACACACCCCACTAAATCCCCGCCATTCCTTCCTCATTTGCAGTTATTGTTTATGACAGGCTCAGCCATTCCAGGTAAGATCTTAATAAGGATTTATAAAGAGGAAAAATCAAACTGTCCGCTAGTCATTCTTTAACCTTAATTTTTCTACATGACTGGCCCTCTCTGTAACCTTTTCAGCTGCTGGCTGTCACAGGGAAATATGGAACCTTTTAAACCGAAGAAGACAAGTTACATCACATTCCAAAGAGGAATACAGAAAGATGTCTAAGAACATTATAAAAAATCTCCAACGCACATTCTGAATGTTGCAGATTAAAAGGGGAAGAGAGTAGATACAGTAGCTGCTTTGGTACAAGCATGGTTGCTGACTGTACCTGTATTTGAACATTTGTTACTGGAAATTAAAACACAGTTTAATGGTAACCAGCTACATTGTATAATTCACTGTAGCCATCTCTTTACAGACCAGAATGCTGTCACTAAAGGCTCCCTGCAGGGATCCCCCCCCCCCCCTGGATAGGCAGAGCCAGCTGTCACTCACGCAGCTGGGTGGATCCAGACAGCATTGGTGGGATCCGTTCCGGCTGCGGCATCTCAGTATACCGGGAGCTGTAGCTCGCGGTATACTGAGCTTTGGGTCATGGGAGAACGCTAGTTTGTGTTCTCCCGTGACCCTTAGGAGAACTATGGGGAAAACCCTGACCCCAAAGTTCTCCTTTAAACAGAACACCAGTAAAAAAATCTTAAGGCTGAGGACATCTAGTGTGGACAAGAGGTACTGCATGGGGGCAGCTCTGCTTTGAATGCGAGTATTGCAGTTTCAGCTTCCTTTTAATTTTAAATTTAAAGGCCAACTACGGAAACAAATAACTCACCAGTATCATAGAAGATATAAATTCGGTTGGCAGAAGACAAACCTCCCATTCTTCTGGCTTTATTCTAGTGCTGTCACATCTATTCTTCTACATGTGGGTGGAAGCACAGCTCCTGCTGTACGTCCATGCCTGTTTGGATGTATGTGCTGCATATTTTATAGACAACAATGCTATGGTCATATTCCCACTACCTCTTCTCCTGGCCATTAGCAAACCTGGGCCTGGGCTCAGGGCCGGATTTCCCATAAGGCCACCAAGCCCCGGCCTCGGGGCAGCAGGGAGTAGAGGGGCATCAGGGGGGGGGGGGATTCCTATCTCTCGACGCCCTGGACATGCAGTTCCAGGCACCAGGCGGGTAGTTGTGTTCTACACTTAGCCCTGCTTTGGGCAAGCAGGGCTAAATGTACAGGTGGAATCCGCCGCTCGCTTTTTACAAGTGATCACGGCGATGCCGCCAAGATCACTTGTATGCAGCCTGCATACAGGGGGGAGCATTGAGGAACCTGGCATTGGGACCGCAGAGAGAGTAAATCCGGCCCTACATGGGCTGTGTGTTTTTTGAATGAGCAGGAGGAGGGTGCAGAAACGTGACCATAGCACTGAGGTCTATGAGATCTATAAGCAGCAGCTGTGCTTCCACCCTCATAGATATGACAGCTCTAGAATAAAGCCATAAGGTTGGGAGCTTCATTTCCTAGCAACGGAATGTATATCTGCTGTGATACTGATGATTTTTTCATGCCTGGAGTTGGGCTTTAAAAAAAAAAAGCATCTGGAACTGCAACACTCACATTTACAGCAGGGCTGTCCCCTGCAGCATCTTATTTCCGCCACTAGATGTCCTCTTCCAGGTTAAACGACTGACAGCATCATCCACATTCTCCAGGCTGTCATGGACCCACCCAGGATTCTAACTAGGCCAAGAAGCAGAAGCTCACTGTTAAGGTTGCCCATACACTCTACCACCCTTGCAAGGCTTTTGTTTTGCGAGGGTTGTAAAAAACATACGATCTGCCCATCTTGGACAGGTAGATCGTACTTGCGATCATCGCAAGCCTGACCCCCCTGAGGCTTCTGATGACTGCAATGCTGTCGTACGACTCTCGGCTGGTTTTCCAACATGCTCGAAATACAAAAGTCGTGCGACCGTACATTAGAAACGGTCGCACGCCTTCCATACACTGCACGATTCTCGTACAATCGTGGGATTTCCCGCTATTCTCGTACGAGAATCGTGCACTGTATTGGCACCTTTACTCTGCCCTTACCCCTTATAAGCATGCTCCTAGTCAACAAATGAACTGATTGCCTCCTTGTGCTGTTTCTTCCTATCCCACTCTGAGCATTGCTGTACAGGGACTGCAAGAGGCTGATACCAGATCAAATACTTGCATTCAATAAAATTACATTTAGAGATGTGTTGTTTAATTTGTATCTTTTTATATATACTGTATGCCTAGAGATCAGCTCTAGCCATAGTCTCATTGTTAGCTGGATAGCCCTAGCAGCTCACTGGCTTCACTTGATACCAGGAATTGCTTTTAGCCTCACTGCAGTCCCAGCAAAATGGAATGAATCATTTTGAGATTGGTAATAGGTTTACCACTCGATAATTTGGCAAAAGTGACGGGTAAGCATTGTGCTAATGTACGAGCATGAATCGGTCCCAGCAAGGTGTGATACATTAATCATCTATTTTCCCTTGCCCCGGGCCAGTGTGCGTCAGTACTTAAGAGAAGGTAATTTTCTCACTTCCATGCGAGGAGCACTCTGCCCGGCTGGAAAGGTACCGGGATTCTGCCGAGGCTAAGTTACTTACAAATCCTAATGATAAGCTGAAAAGCTTTTTTATTAATTCCACGGTATTAACTTTGATCATCGTTTATCAGATAAATAACATAAGAAATTAGCTCTTTAATTTTGCATGCGGGGAGAAAAGGATTTGCAACTTAATTGAATTCCGACTTGTGAATTTTAAATCAGGTGAGTAAACCTCAGTGGGGTATCGAAAACAGGAATGAAAAAAAAAAAACCTGTTGCCTTTCAGCTCAAAAGCTCAGCTGGACGACAGCAATCATCTTTACTGTCATTTATTTTCTGGTCTGATGTAGCATCACAGCGATCCTGAGAATTCACCGGGCTCCATTTACTGGAATAAGCTATTCTGTTAACCTTAAGGGCGGATTAACACTATAGAGTTGCGCTAAAGGCACAGCATCCGTATGTATAGTGTATGCATGCTATCACACACTGGGTATGCTGGTGCATTGCGTTGCCTTTCATTCTGACTGGCACATCAACGCGCTTCCCTGGCGAGAATACATTGTGCCGCAATGCACAGTATCACAATAGGGTGCATTACGTAGACATGCGGTGCATGGATTATTTTTGTTCACAGCAATGCACACTATTGTGGTACCCTGCACTGCAATGCAGCATGACGCATACCTGCTGGGAAAATGAATGGCGATGCAACACACCAGCATACCTGAAGTGCAGTGCAATGTGCTGTACGATACCATGCCTTTAGTGCAACGCTATAATGGGAAGCTAAAGCAATGACATGCTGCACCTCCCCCCCCCCCGAAGCAGGTATCTGCACGGGCGTGCACTTCATATGGACGTGCACGCCCATGCAGATACCTGCTCCTGGGACAGACAGGTACAGTGTGTAATTGCGTTCAGCCACCTCCATATCCCTATGGAATGACGCGGCTACATTAATGCTATATGTTAACCCAAACCTGCACATTCGTGTAGGCTGGGGTGCATGCAGACTGTCTGGCAACTGGGTGCACGCACTTGGACGCAGGCAGCCAGGCAACTAGTATTCTTAGAAGGCCAGTGATAGCAAATACTGTATTTCAATCACTGCAGAAAAAAAAATATCTCTGCTACTTTTTTTCTTTATCTCTGCTACTTAGCACCTTTCCAAGTCTGAAAAATATACCAACCATTTACTATTTTATTAATTAACATGGGCATGCACATCCATACAACATGCATGCTCATGCAGAAAGCCGAAGAGCTCATTTACAAGCAATTACAAGCTGCACCTGCCCCTCCCACGAGCAGGTATCTGCATGGGTGTGCAATTCATTTGGACATGCACGTCCATGCAGATGCCTGCTCCTGGCAGAGACAGGTGCAGTGTGTAAATGCTTTCAGCCACCTCTACATCGTTATGGGAGGTCGCAGCTACACCCAGCATGCCAACCCAAACCTGCATATGCGTGCAGGTCCGGGTGCAGGCATTTGGATGCAGACTGTCTGGCAACCAAGTGCATACACTTAGCAGAAGGCCAATAATAGCAACTCCTGTAATTCAAGAATTTCCAGGTTTCAGTCATTACAGAAAAATAGCAGCTCTGCTACTTAGCAGCTGTCCAAGTCTTACAAATATCCCCATACCAACCATTTACTATTTTCTTAATTTCCCCAAAGCCTTATTTCTTGCCTGACTCTGCCATCCGTGGAACCTCTTCCAATAGGGGGAACTGGTGATCCAACAGTCCAGGCCTGCTGCTCATTTTTGTTGTTGTCCCTTGCAACTGCTGGAGTCTTGGAGGACCCTGCCATTGGACAGCCAATGGGAAGCGTCCACAACGCAGCTACACGGACACCCAGAAAAGATCCGTCCCACTCTGCAGTCCAGATTATAGAAAGCTCAGAACCCATGACATTGTGAGACCATGTGATTTAGGTGAGTATTTGGGCCATTTAGACTAGGGTTTTTTTTTCAAGTTGCTTCAATGTTTTAGCTAAAGTGGGTTATTGTTTGTAGGGGATAGAGGAGGCCTGCTGGGATTCACACTGTGCATTCTGTTGGTGCGCATTATGGCACACATGACAACATGTGTTACTGGCACGTCTTCCAGTGTGTTGCGCTGTCGCTAAGGCAGCCCATTTATTATAAATGGACTTCAAATGCAATCCAACAGAAAAAAACAAATGTAATTCTGAATGGCACACAAATGCACCTTGCCAACGGATGTACATTGCAGGACACCACAACACAACAGTGTGCTGTGTTACAAAAAATAGTACATGCGACTTTGTTGGTGCATTTGGGTGCATTGGGCAGTCCATTTAAATGAATAGGCTGCCTTAATGCAATGCATGTTAATGTGCTGCATAATGCATGTTAACGCAGCGCAACAATGTGAACGGGTTCTTAATGTTCACTGCCAAAATACGGGAAAACAGATATAGGGTGGAGGGGGGTTATGTGACCATTTAGGGTGAGTAAAAGTATAAGACCCTAAAACAAACCTGAGTATTGTCCATGCAGGTTGACACTGATAAGGAAATATAACCTCTGCTCGTGATGAATGGTTTTGAAAGTTTATTTCGAAGAGAAAAGTTACAAAGTAAAAGCAAAAGGTTAAAAAGATTACTGGAGAGATTAGGGAAGGAGATTAGCACAGCCCGCGGAGGTCTGACATTTGATTGCCATAACCTAGCTTCTTCACAGGGACATATCCTTTTCAAGGGCTTCTGCACATGACCGCCTGTGTACAATGTAAATTCCAGCATATCTCTGCTGCCAGGGAACCATGAGTGCAGCACACAGCCCCCTGTAGAAGTCAATGCTGGTATATGCTGGACTTGCATTAACATACAATAATGGGTAGAGGGGCACAAGTCCAAAGTCTGTATGCATCAGGCTTCTGCGCCCGTATAGATGTGCGTCTCACTCTTTACGCAAGTGCAGTATATACTTGCGCACAGCCATTGGCTTCTATGGGCGGCTGTGCACGGCACCTGTGACTCCATTAAACATTCCACACTCCATTTACAATGTATGGCCACAGGGGGCTGTGTGAAAGGGCACTAAGACAGGACCTCCCTAAACAATTCTTTATGTCACCTCCTTAGGAATTTGTACAAATGACAAGCATAAGATTTTCAAATTAGAAATGCAGGAAACATTCACTGCTTCTTGATGTTTAAAAGTTTTAGTTTCCTGTAGAATCAGCTGGTCCCCTGAGCACTGGCCCTGATATCCTGTTTTAGGGTGGCTCCTTTACCTTACAGGGTCCTACGGAGCAGGGGCGTCCCGAAATAGGCTGGGTGAGACCCGGAGCGGAGACTGGGTGACCCCCCTGCCGTGATGTCATCATGCATGGGCGGCCATCTTATTGACGCCTCCTGGTGGCCATCTTGGTGATGGACGCCGGCAGAGAAAGGTGAGGACGTTCACCCAGCGGGATGAGGTATGCCGCCGGGTGCCCTCCTCTCTCCTGACACTGTCGGGCTCTCGGCTCGTGACCGAGTGCCCGACTTTTCAAAGGGGTCAGTCATTTTGGTGTCACCCCTCCAATGGTGACACCCTTGTGATGCCACTGCTATGGAGCCACCCTTGTGTGTGCTAGTAAGCTGGGAGTGTCTCAACACAGGAACAGCAAGGCAATCCACTCCCCTGCTCCCTGATTCTCCTTCCTCCGAGCTAGCAAATAGACAGCTGCTGGAGAATGCTCTGTCCTTTGTGATCTTGTACTGGCCAGGAAGCTCAGGGAAGCCGAGCTGTGAGAGTTGAAGCCATCTTGAAAACATGCATACTGTACAAAATGTACAGAAATACTTTGCTGGTCATATATATTTGCTTGATCTGTATTCATCATTGAACAAAATGTGAGATCCATAGCCTGAAATGCCTCAATGTACAAGGAGACTGACTGCAAAATAAGACCTTCTAAGGACATTGTAACAACACATTTCAAGGACATTGCTTTAAAGTGACATTAAACCCTCAGATTTTTTAACATAAAACAATACTGTAATGTGCGCCTTACTGTAATCCATGGTTGTTTCCCTTCTCTTTACTGCTCTTTCTTTTAAATCTCTGTCTGTTGTCATGCTGGGCAGAACTTCTGTTTTGCAGCAGACTGCCTTGTCTCTGGAATGGATACATGGTGTCTGTGTGTAGGTTCACAACCTGAGCCAGCACTACAGGAAGAGGCACTCAGCTGCAAAGGGAAGTTCTCCCCCAGCATGATAAGACATGAGAATTTAAAGGGAGAGCAGCAAATAGAAGGGAAACTACCATGAATTACAGTAAGTAAGTACATTACAGTATTGGTTTATGTTAAAAAATCTGAGGGTTTAATGTCACTTTAACAACAACTTGAAAAGACATTGTAGCAAGCGGACCTGTTAGAATACTAACATTAGCATATAAGCATTTAATATTGTCATATAGCATATATCCATTAGTATATTATAATTATGTTTTTGTTATCAAAGTTAATGCCCCCCCTCAGCAGCACCCTTCCTTCCTGGTGAAGGGAAATAAAGTGTATATGTGCTGCTGCAGCGGAGGGCATTACATAAATGGATAAAACCCATGTTTGCTTTAATCTTGCAAAACCTGTCCTCTTTTCAAATCGAAAAAGTTCAAGTGAGGAGCTGACAAATGTGTAATAGCAAAAAAAAAAACCGCTGAAAATGCGCTAACTTTTCCAAGGTCACAAAAACATTTTAAAATGCCATCAAATCACCAGGCAGAATTATTACACAGTTAACGCTCTTAACCTCTCAGCCAGCCTGAAATACTAATGGGCATCATGTTTTTTGTCGCTGGTGCGGATTTTCCCACAATGCCCATTATCTATCATATAACAAGGTCATAAAGTTAGGGCCGAGTTTTATCCAGCTGCTTTTTCAACAGAGTTATAATGAAAGGGAATTTAATTGCGTGAAATGGCAGGTTCAGTAAGGTTAGATTGTCTAAATTTAACAAAAATTGTCGAAGCGCAAAAGAGAAAAAAAAAAAACATGAGCTAACTGAGAGTCTTGTCGACTTTATTTTGTTTCCAATTCTATTTTTTTTTTCTTTATAGAGGGTGGAAGATGAGAAATGGTGTTTTATTCTGAGGCATTGCTCATACGTGTGGCCCGAGGGGCAGGAAAACCCTTTCTTGCCCCCTCCACGTCTGGGCACCGGAGATGCACAGTGATGACATAATTGTGATCCCATGCTACCGGCTCCTGATCATCAGTAGTTGACTGTGAACTATTGCCTGCAGCTAAGGCTGGGCATACACCTGTAATTTTTTTTTTGTTCAAACCCGCGGGCTGAACAAAAGAAATTGAGCAGATTCCTCCATCAACACAAACAGCGTGTCGATTGAGGAATCCCGCTGTTTACATTGTATTCTACATTGTATGTAGAATACCCGATCAGAGTGGGCAGCTCATTGGCTGCTGGCTCTGATCGATCGAAGATTTTTCAGCCGACTCCTTCGATCAGCTGATTGAGGAATGCCGGCTAAAAGGGAGCCGACAGCCACACACACTGTGCGAATTTCGGCCGGTACATTAAAATCTATCTGAAATTCAACCAGTGTATGGGCACCTTAAGTCTCAGTTCCCAGGTCACCAAGTGTGCCCACAGAGCAACACAATGATGCATGTTTATTTATAATAAGTATTTCATATAGCATCAGTCACTGCCCTCAAGGAGCTTACAATATAAGGTCCTGATTGCACACAGGCCCAATTACCCTTCCAGCATGTCTTTGGAGTGTGAGAGGAACCCCACCAAGCACAGGGAGAACATGCAAACACTCCGCGTATAGTGTCCTGACCGGGATTCAAACTAAGGACCCCCCGTGCTGCAAGGACAAAGTGCTAACTACTAAGCTACAGTGCTGCTCCATATGTGGCAGCTCAGCATTAGCATTAGCCACCTTTACCTTTGTGCTGCCGCATATACAGTATGTGTGAGGCCAACAGGAAATAGTTGAGCCACGTCTTATTTAACCGCATCCAGTTTTTGCTGCACCACTAGACGCTTTCTAAACTGTTCTCCCAGGTTGACATCTCTGACTGTACCAAACAAGCAATCACACAGGGTGATTGCCCCACTCAATATGGTCGCAAGCGACGGACATATTTAGTGGGGCAACTCAGACTAATAACGTGCTGGATTAGTCTGAACCTAGTTTATTGTAATACTTTACTGCTGTGTAGTATGTGTATAGGGAAATGCCTTCTCGGCCAAACCTCTTACTTCTAACTAAACCGGAAGTCAGATGGTTGGAGATCTCGAGGAGTTGGAACTTTCGATAGAACACCGGACAGAGGTGTCAGCACCCCCCGATCTGCACCGCCAGCACTCAGCACCATGACCACCATCCCCACCTGGACCTGCACCACCAGCCCCCCCCAATCCCCCCCCCCTTCCGCCGACCTGCACTGCCGACACCCAGCCCTGCAACATCGCACCCCCCCAGCCTGCATCACCAGCACAGACACAGCCCCTCCAGTCTCAGGTGGTGAGAATTGAAGGGACACAGCTGTATATATATGTATATATAGTATATATATATACATATATATATATTTGTGTGGGTATTACATTTTGCCTTCTGGCTACATTTCCACTTTAAGACGTTTGCAGTTCATTCGTAGCACAGCAAAAGATTTCACGGTGCAACTGTTTTGGAACACAGACCTGAGAGTTTCCTGTGTCCCCTTCATGTTAATGAGCCGGTTTATTGCAGGAGGCTGAAGTTATTGGGCACCGCGGGAGGTAGCAATGCTTCATTAGGATTTGAAAGCTGTAAAATTTGAAAGGATTCAAGTTCTATTCTTTCTGATCTCAAATTATGAAACCAAGAAAGGCGCCGGCTTGTAACTCACACAAACCCACTTTAACTCGAAAATTTTTTCATTTTCACACTTTACAAAGAAGACCATCTGGGATGATTCTGTGGGAGGGATATCAGGATGAGTAGAAATGAATAGATCAGAAGAGAAAGTCTATCACTGGCCATGCATGGAAAGAGATATACATAATCAATCATAGATGCAATCGTTTCCAATGACCCTTCACTCAATAAAAGGGATATGACATAGAAAAGGTCAATTTGGTGTAATCGGATTGGCTGCTCTCTAAGGATGGATCATTCCTTCCTGCAATCGTTCACATAGAAATGGTCATTTGCTGCAATCTGTTTCTGAAAGATAGGATCTGCAATAACCAGTGGTGGGTTCACTGTACTGTGGTATGTCTGCAGTCCCTCATCATCTACTTTAGTATGTCAGTGGTGCACGCTAAATGGGAAGGGGGAGAAACATCCTGCTCAGCTCCTGGCAACCAGTGACTTCACTGGCTGCCAGGAGCTGAGTGGGACACCGGCCAGAACATCCCAGGAAGCTCCTGGCAACCACTGACATCACTGGCTGCCAGGAGCTGGGCAGGCTGCCAGCCAAATTACACTTTATTTAATCTTTACTGAGAGCAATCAGCTGACCTCCTTCTCAAAAAAAAGTCTAAAGACTTTCAAAGCTGAAATTGACAAATAACAAACAAAAAGTGAAGCGCAGAACTTTTTAGCATCCTTGTGGCCTTTATTATAAACTGCCATTGGCAATACATGTATGAGCACGCCTCAACAAGAACAGAGATGGCACATATGCCCTTCCTGTCTGCTCCATCAGGACCCTCTCCAATCTTCTCCCTGACTCGCCTGCCAAGTTGATGTCCCTTTTCTCCATGCCGGCTAGTACAGCTCATTGTAGGGAGATTCTTTACTAAGCATTGTGTAGACAGGCAGGTACCCCCCATTGTGCACCTGCCTAGGTAGTTATAAATACATGGAGTGCATGCCTTTTTCCTTTTTGTTGTGTACAGTAACCACATGACAGGTCTTTAGCTGTGTTGTCTAAATCTCTTAAATTTTACTGCATCACTGCAAGAAATCGCATAACCTCCAGCAAAGCTTGCTCTTACTTATCTGAAAAGCTTGTATTAAGTGAGTTATATAATAATAAGGCCAAACAGTCTTGAAACCAACAAGTCTTGAAAACTCTTGTTCTTCTTGCAATATAAATCCCCATCCAGTGTAGACAAAAACACCCCCCGAAACGCCTTGTGCTCCACCATCACCAAGAGTATGTAGCTCACCCCAAAATACATTGTCTGGTCACACACTCCAATATTTAGTAGGACCACCTTTAGCTTTGATTACGGCACACATTCACCGTGGCATTGTTTCGGTAAGCTTATGTATTGTTGCAAAGTTTATCTCCATCATTAATTTTATTCCCGTCATTAAATTTAATTTTATTTAAAAGTTTATTTCCGAGTTGTATTCATTTTTCACCAAGATCTTTTTGTGATGATGGGAGAGTCGGACCACTGTGTAAAGTCTTCTCTAGCACATCCCAAAGATTCTCAATGGGGTTAAGGTCTGTGGTGGCCAATCCATGTGTGAAAATGATATCAGTATATTCAGGTAGGCAGCTGACCTTGGGCACATAACATTGCTGAACGTAGACCGGACCAACTGAAGCATCCCCCATAGCTCATACCTATTGCTATTCACGTGGTGAATTTTTTTGGACAGGCATTATATTGTGTGTAGACGTAAAATCTTCTCCAGCACACCCCAAAGATTTTCAATGGGGTTAAGGTCTGGACTCTGTGGTGGCCAATCCATGTGTGACAATGATGTCTCATGCTCCCTGAACCCGATGAATCCTGGCAGTGTCATCTTGGAATATGCCCAATGTGCCATCAGGGAGGAAAAATCTGGTCATTCAGTATATTCAGGTAAGCAGCTGACCTCAATTTTGGTGACATAATATATGTTGATGGCTCCCAGACCTGAATGGCATTCGGGAGCTCCCGAATGGCATTCGGGAGCTCCCGAATGCAATTTGGAAATTCAGATCCCGAATGCCATCCGGGTCTGGGAGCCATATACCTATATTACTAAAGCTGAGGCTCCCAGACCCGAATGGCATTCCAGAGCTCCC